TTTTCAAAAACTCTATTCAGTCAAACAGATGAGGGTAAATAAACATGATAGTGCGTGATGGTGATTTCGAAGCAACTTTGTCACATATATTTTAAAAAGTGGGATAATGAATCAAGTTTTGCTTTTTGCAATCCCAAAAAGGTATGAAAATTATTTAAATATTTAAAGGTTTTCGTGTTTATAATGTATGTTTTGAGAAAAGTAAAAATTTTGCTGAGAAAAAAGCATAGTTTCTGCAGAAAACTGTTTTTTGAGATAGAAGATCCTGGGAGTGGTGGTGTAGAAGCGTGCGCGGATAGCAAAAAACCTTGACGTTTCCTCCAAAAAATTAATACCAAATTTTATTTTGCCTTTGTTTGATATGTAATTTAAACAAGTTTTTTTACATCTAAAAATTGCCCCTAGTGATCAAAACTTGGATTATGTTCGCAGTATTGGCTATTTGTTTACTTTTGAAGATCAAAGTTTGAGGTCCATTTATTTTTAAAGTTTGCAAACTACCCAGCTAATACTTGGCTATTGTTTGCAGCCTTGTATGCTGATTAAGATTTAGTTTAGTCCACAATAGTAGATCCTTTGAATGAAGGAAAATTAAAAATAGTATATTTGATTCCTTTTGCATCACAGACAGTACATATAGGCTGGGTGCAATACCAGGCCAAACTGCAAAAAAGTTTACCGATTCCACCAAATTCAAAATCATATTTTTTTGCTCCCAAGCCACATAGCAAACAGAATTTAACAACAAATTTTGTTGAAAAATTGCCCCTTTGCGTCTAATTTCGCTTTGAAATGCGTGCGTTTACTGCTCTTGTAATCCTTGTAGGGTTAAAAAACATTCGAAGTACTGTAAAATGTAATGAAAATCGACAACTTGACCTTGCCCCTGGCCTTGAGACCTTGCTACTGCCTCAGCACAGAATTTTTTTTTTGCAACGATAATTTACCAGTGTTTCTTGGATATTTTCCTTGTATAACTAGTAGAACCGAACACACAAGTGCATCTGAAGACTAAGTGAATGTTTTGTGTATAAATGCTCTGTTTACGGGAAGTTATTTTGCATTCGCAAGGCGTCAATAAAAGCCAGCATTTTCACAGTTTGATTATTACGGATAGATAAAAGCCGCTTTGAAAATTCAATTGTAAGCATTTTAAACCACCAGAATTAGTATAGAATATATGTTAGTCGTATTAACAATGAACTTCTTTCTGTTTGAACCCAAATTTGTACTTGTTTTGCGTTTGAAAAGGCTGTCAAGCTCGCCGCGACGATTGGCTTTACCTCGAGCAAGACTGCAGATTTAGCGTGTCAAATGTCTTCTTGTTTGTGTCAAGATTGTAATGCTATATTGCTGTTCAAACGAGATATTCTATACACATTAACGTAGAGTACATTTTACTTTGCCTCAAGCAAAAAAAATTATAAAGATTAAACAGGCATTCACAAATATACAACAACCACGAGCATCTCGTTATTTCTTTGGGGGAAATTTTCAAGTTTCAATGGATATCTGGCGCATGCGCAACAAATTTCCCAGCGGTTCTCCGAACGGAAAATTCCGCCTAGTGGGAAACGGCCTTTAGGGAAAATTTATCTTCGAACGCGTTTTTGTGGGCATAAGCCCGGGACGAGGGCATTAATTCCGCTCAGCTATATCCCGGGAAAAGGAGAGCATTTGCGAAGTCTAAATTTCTTCAAAAATTGCGGACGCATGCCGGCTATGGATAGTTAGATATAGGTAGATTTTATTTATTGAAAAATCACACGCTAGCCCCGTCAACTATTAAGGTGGCTCGCTACAGTTTATAGAAATGTTGAAAATGCGTAAACTAGATCACCTTTTTGAAGAGATTATGCTCTTTACGGTGGCCGGACATTTTGCTGAAAGACACTTTGCCGAAAGACATTTTGCCGAAAGACATTTTGCCGAACGGACATTTTGCCGACGGACGTTTTACCGAACGGACGTTTTGCCGAACGGACATTTTTATATATACAGCGACAATCAAACAGTCGAAAATTGGTCAGAAAAGTGACGTCACCACTGTGGCTATAGCAACAATGACGATTCAAGGCCTATATTTTGGCTTTGAACGCATTTTACTTTAAAAAAAGGTCGATTACCCCCATTTTTTATTTCAGAAAACATTTTCTTATAGTACAATACACAATCTGACAAATTTAAAAAAAATTCTGTAATGCCAAATTTTTAGAAAATTTATAAACGTGGTTTCTCAAAATAAATTTTTTTTTTGCATTACAGAATTTTTTTAAAATTAATCAGATAGTGCATTGCACTATAAGAAAATGTTTTCTGAAATAAAAAATTGGGGTAACCGACCTTTTTTTAAAGTAAATGCGTTCAAAGCCAAAATGTCGGCCATCTTGAATCGTCATTGTTGCCATAGCAACAGTGGTGGCGTCACTTTTCTGACCAATTTTCGACTGTTTGATTGCCGCTGTATATATAATATACAAATTTCGATTTGTAAAGAGCATCATCTCTTCAAAAAGGTGATCTAGTTTACGCATTTTCAACATTTCTATAAACTGTAGCGAGCCACCTTAACTGATTTCCACGCGAGGGCGAGTGTTACATTATATAATATATTCTAACTATTTTTAAATACATACACACTGTACAATGTTGTAGACCCCAAAAAATATAACCCCAATAGATCCTTTCAACTCCCATATACCCACATGGCTCTTATTAATTTATTTATTTATGCAAGCTAAGCAGTGCTTCTGTACGCCGACACTAAGTGATTCGCATCCTAATGCATTTATTGCTTTTAATGTAGGAGTATCATTGCTCATATTTAGCACTACCCTTGCAGCTCTATTCTGAAGTTTTTGAAGTCTGGTAGAAAGACATATACCCATTGTATCCCATACCTCACTGCAATAATCAAAGCGAGGACGGATTTGAGCATTATAGATAGAGGACAGACCATTATAAAAATAACGCTGAATATTTATCAATTATTGGACGAGGTTGAGCAAAATATCGTGATTTGTCGGTGGCGAGCAGATCAATTATTTGCCGATAGCGAAGGCAGAGGCAAATAATTGATCTGCGAGCCACCGACAAATCACGATATTTTGCGAGAACCGAGTTCAATAATTGTTTTATCATTCACTTAAAGCCTCATTTTATCTTTCGTTTAATATAAGTTCGCCGTCTCTCCTTAAAACTTGCGAAGGACGTTGGCAAAAATTTTTTTTGAGCCAACTAAATCATCTTCGTTGATTTATCTTGCTTCTAAATGCTGGCGAAAGACATTGACGGCGGTTTTAGTCGCTTTTTTATTTTTCGCGTTTTTTTCTTCAAGTAAGCAAAACAACTCGTTTTCCAAAAGTTCAGCAAAACGAGACGCCATTGTTTACAAAAATTAAGGCAATGCGCATGCTCAGACTATTATTTGTAGCTGAGCAGCGTTTTTAACAAATGCGCATGTTCAGACTATTATTTGCACGCAGTTATTTGCAGGTAAATTAATCAATCAAAATTGAGAATACTATAAAGTGAATGATAAATTAATATGGTAAACACGGGTTTACTTATTTCGAATATCTCTAATCTATAGACTGCTTTTTCCCGACGAAATAAACCCAAAAACCACGCTGACACGCTCGACTGAATGTTTTGTCTAATACGTTACTATATACAAACTTACATGAAGTCTTAAACATAAAAAAACAATAAATTAATTATCATAAATTATAAAGCTATGAAAATGTCAAAACCGTTTCTACATTTCCCCCTCCCTGATTCTACTAGAATCTGCAGTCAACTGTCCCAAAGTTTGAATATGAATGTTCGTTAAACTACTAAAAAGTTTATATTACTTATCTACAAATTCCAACCGAGAGATTCGAGATATTGATCTTCGATACGTACAATCTCCTACTTTTACATCTACAACTCTCACTAGTCCATCACCACCGGGATATACACCAACGATTCTCCCAACTTTCCAATTTCTTCTCGGAGAGTCTGGATCGACTACCAACACAATGTCTCCTTCCTTTAAGTTCTCTTCTCGATCAAACCATTTCTTACGTGATCCAATGCTCGTAATATACTCTCGCATCCACCTCTTCCATGTTTGACGTACCAATTCTTGGATTCTTCGCCACCGTTTTCGCGGATCAAAAGCTAACGTGTCGACATTTTCTGGAGCCAGTTCGCCACCCATATGTCCTATTAAAAAGTAGTTAGGGGTCAGTATTGGATCATCGTTCGGATCGTTGCTCGTCGCTGTTAAAGGTCTTGAATTTAACAAACTTTCGACTCCCGTGAACACCGTCAATAATTCTTCTTTTTCACGTCAGCGTTTCCCAGAATTGCTTTTATGGCTCTTTTGGCGGATTCAATCATTCTTTCAAAGACACCCCCAAAATGAGGTGCTAATGGTGGATTCCAATGCCAACGAATCCCGTTGTTTGATGTCATACGCTGAATTATGTCTTGATGTAGATGCTGTACCAACTCTTGCAATTCATTGTTGCCTCCAACGAAATTTGTCCCGTTATCACTGAGCATGTCTCTTGGCCAACCCCGTCTGGCAACCATACGTGTTAAAGCTTTCAGAAATCCATCAGTTTCGAAAGACCAAATGGACACAATGTGTTTGAAGGCATAGGAACAGGCAAAGGTATCTCTTGATTCGGGACTTTCCACAACTTTGTATGGTAAAGAAAGGACCAGCAAAGTCTACTGCGCAATTTGTAAAGGGTTTCATTGTGAGTTCTAATCGAATACGTGGTAGAGGGGCCATTTGTTGTTGTAACGGTTTCCCGCGGAATCTTCTCTTGCACTCATTGCATTCTTTCATGATTCTTTTAACCGTTTCCCGTGCATGCACAACTATATAGCTCTCGCGAAGATGATTCTGAGTATAATTTAGTCCCATTTGATGTCCTTCTTTCTCATGATGGTACTTGACGATCAGTTCTGTAACCGGATGTTTCTTTGTCAGGATAACGGGGTACTTCACTCGATTGGGTAAATGTTCTGCGTAACGTAATCTTGTGTTTGATCTTAACAGTCCGTCCATTAATATCGGTGTAAACGTAAGGATAGAGCTCTTTTTTGGTAGATTTCTGTTTTGCTTCAAAGCTTCGATCTCGTCAGGATAACTTTCGTGCTGTGCTTTTTGAATAATTATTTCTTCTGTGCTGCGTACCTCGTCTGGTGTGAGTTCTCCATGAGTGCTTTCTTCCCTTGATCTACGGCAGTTATTGATGAATCTGTGGACCCACGAACGTACTCGTACTAACGAAAGTCCAAATTCCAACTTGTCCTCATTGTTTACTCTGTACCACTTCGAATATCGTAAATGATCCATACGCCATAATTGTTGTGCTTCTTGGGGGTCGTTGTATTGAAACTTAAGGACTGGTCATTTGTAGACGCACTCTCTTGTTTTCGTGCTTCGACTTTCAACTCTTTGCACTTTACTGAGTTAAGTTCTATTTCGATCTTTTCTTCAGGCCATGCATCTTTAGATTTCTTCAGAAATTCCGGGCCAAACCACCACTGCTGACTGTTTTTCATCTCGCTGCATTCCTTCCTCGCGAACCATAATCTGCAGGATTTAACTCCGTTGGAACATGCTTCCATTGATCAGGACACGATTCGTCATGGATCTCTCCAACTCGATGTGCAACGAAGGGCTTATAATCTCGACTTCGTCCGTGTATCCAGTGGAGCACGTTCATGCTATCCACCCAAGAGGTTGAATCTTTCACAGGAATTTCTAAAGCTGTAGAGACTTGTTTGGTTAAGCGAACTCCAATCAGCGCCCCCATTAGTTCTAGTCGTGGTATACTTATAGCTTTTAGTGGTGACAATCTTGTCTTCGAGGCGATCAACTGTGTCGTAACGGATTTATCTTCATACTCGTGTCTCGCGTAAACAACTGCCGCGTATGCTTTCTCTGATGCATCCGAAAAACTGTGTAGTGTAACGCTGGTCACTAGATTACTATTCTTTAAACACCGTGGTATCTTGATCTCTTGAAGAAGGTGCAATTCGGAATAAACCAGTCTTCCCATTCGTTTTTAAGTTTGTCAGTTAATTACTCAATTCAATCCGCCAATATTAATTTCCGACGTATATGACGGGAAGATTAAATATTAAAGAACTTCGCGAGTATTTGCAATAGACATACGAAAATACCACCAAAAAATTCCGCTTGATCGATACTATATATTCAGAAATATTCATATAATTTTATTGTTTCTCGCTCAATTTCAAGCGAATTTCTTACCTTGAAATGATCAATGCGGTGAAATTTATGCAAATGACACATTATCAATTTTGCTGTTGCATTTTGAACGTTCCGCCTGATTCAAATGCTCGTCTTTTTGCTTCTTTTCAACGTATAATAATGAACAAATATACCAAAAGCACAGAAGAGATAATACCAGAAGTCTTACTCAAGCGGAAACATGTCCCATCTTTTTTATTGCGCATGCGCGAGCTAAACAAGTGTAATGCAATGTTGACAATAGAAAATTATATTGGGAAGTTGTCATTCCTACAGTAAAAACAGCTTTTTTTCAAGTAGTACGAAATGTGACTTCGATTTATCTGTGGAACTATTTGAACAGAAGGTAAAGCAGTAATTTTGTTGTATTTAGAAAGCAAACAGGGTCATATTTTAAAGAAAAGAGCGCACTAAATATAAATTTGAGCATCATTAAAATGTGTTCGCTATGATGCCATTTTGTCTCCAGTATATACGGAGTACTGCTTTTATACTGGTGGATATTCGAATTTATTTGGCTCAAAAACACCATTACTTCAATATCCCTTTCTTGTTTTTCCTTGGATAGGTTTTAACAAGATAGAACTCTAGATCCCTTGGGTCCAAAAACGCTAGATTATAAAATCCTGATGTGACTTGATACTACAAATAGAATATGTCTTGTGATGTAATACTACAAATAGAATGACAAACTTCAATGAATTGATAAAGTGTAAGGATAGTGTTTAAAGTTGCTTCATGTGTAGAAGCTGAATTACTTTAGTTTATACACTGTAATGTCGATATCACATGCTGATGACTTTAATACCAGCAACTTGCAATAAGTGGTCTGTCCTGCTTGTTTATAATACTTTAGAGTTTGGACGTTAGAACATTGTAAATGCCTGACAGAGACTGTTAGGGCCTGTTTGTATGGAAGCCGGGCTGGCCCGCTTAGCGAGACAGCCCGGTAAGGTAGATACGCAGGATGATTTCTCTTGTGTTTATTTGAGAAAATTTCATCCTGCTTACCGGTGTCCCAGTTGATTTGGACCCCCGTAGATTTGGACCCCCGTAGATTTGGACCCCCGGTCCATATCCACTAGTAGATTTGGACCCCCGGGTCCAAATCTACTAGTGGATATGGACCCCTGGGGGTCCAAATCTACTAGTAAATATGGACCCCCGTTGGTCGATTTGGACCCCCATCAAAAGTTAAATATATGTAATGTGAACACAATAATATAAACCAAATTCATAATAGCGATCAATCTGAAGTATTTAGTCACTTTAAATATTTGTGATAAAGGCCACAAAACGTAAAATAGAAAAATAGAATACAATCGTAGAAATTGCATACAGCATTTGGATCGACACAAAACACAATTTTCATGAATGTTTTTAAACAATAAGTGATGGTGACTCATCTGAATGTGGGAAGCCTGCGACTATCCACTAATGGTTTTAAGAAAAGCTATAGAAATAGAATATTAGAGCAATGCGATTCCATGAAAATTTTTAAACAATAAGTGATGGTGGCTCATCTAAATGGAAGCCTTTTTAGCTATTTTGCTCATATAAACGTCATATTGCGTATATACATGAGTTTTTAGTGTGTTTATTTATCCTTTTATAGTTGTATACACACTTTCCATGCATTTGGACCTTTCTAGTTCACTTGTAGTTTAAGATTTTTGAATTTGGATCTCACTGGCAATAAAAAGTTTTCTATTCACAATAAATGACTATGTGTGGTTGATAAGTAGCTACGGGTATCGGAAAACTAATGAATTTAACATATTCACTGTTATTGGGGTTGTTCTTAGTGTAGAAAACTGTTTAAAAAAGGTCCATATCCGCTAAAGGGGGTCCATATCTGCTAGGAGATTTGGACCGGGGGGTCCATATCTACTAGGAGATTTGGACCGGGGGGTCCAAATCTACTGGGGGGTCCAAATCCGCTGTGACACCGGGACAATTTTGTTGTTTTGACATTGTTTTGACAGTTGTTAAAAATAGCTTGCGGCAGTATCGTTGAACTTTCATTGAACTTTCATCCTGACAACTGGGCTAGCCTGCTTGTGATTGTTTATATGGAGAAATTTCCATCCTGGTCTCTGCAACAGGGCCTCCCGCTTGTACATAGAAACAATTTTAATTATAATTTTTACTATAAAAATAA